GCTGCTAAGGCAACTCCAAACACCTGGAAAGAAGGATTTCCTTCTGGCTTACACCAGGGCTGAATTGTTCTAATTGCATTTGCATTAAAAGGCACCACTGGCAAATTGCAAAAAGGATACATACAATAGAAAACATTATGTAAATGTTCAAAAGGCACAAAATAATATCGCATCTTAATTTTGGATATGTGGAAATGTAGTTAAAAGAAAAAAAAAATGGTTGAGGAGTAATACATACCAACCAGAGGAGATGGGACACTACTGAGAAGGGAAGAAGATGGGGATGTGATCTGTTTGAAGAGAGATTTTAAGCACACAGGGTAAAATATTAAGATCTTATAAATCCAGGAAGTGGATTCACAGGGCTCTATTGTATTATCTTACGAACTCATGTATTTGCTCAAAATATTTTCTAAGTTTAAAAACATTTATTTAAAGAGCCCATGATAACACCTGTTCTGCAGCCATTGTTGTCATTTCTCAAACATCTTTCTCTCACCACGGAGATCACAAATCCTGGACTATTTGAGGTTCACAGAATTCTAAAGTCCCCGATCAATTACCTCTCTTTCCTCTACATGATTTTAACTCACCTCACTGAGCTTGATAACTGAACTGGAAATGGAGCCCCGATATTGCAGTATTGGAAACCCAGTCCTCTTTAGCCTACTATTGGTGTGAGGTGCAACAAGGACAATACCCCAAAAAGACCATCTGTAAAACGGAGCTGTGAGTGTCTAGTGATCAATTTCCATGGGAATCATAAGACCCAGCTGTAGAAAGGACAGTATTGTAGAGACAAATCCAGACAAATACACCTGAGAAATTTTAAGGAGGTTCTCTGTCATTCATGAACAGCTGATGTTCAAGATAACAATGACTATAACCAAAGGAATGAGGAAGCATCCAGTTAAAGGGTGACTAGTCAATATGCCTATTGTTTGTCACACGTTTGCCATATGGTTTGTCAAGCCTTCATCCAGGAACTTTTACTGTTTGTAAAATCCCAAAGAGTTATAACATATTATTTTTGTTGTGGAATGCCTAAGTGAAAGTACTGTGCCAACCTAAGCCTCCAAATCCATTTTAATGTAGGGAGGAAGTCTTCTTATTTTTAAGTTGGCTACCAGTCCTTTTAAATTAGATTGTATACCGTGAGATCACAGCACTTGCCATTTTTGTCCATTAATTAAGTATGAGGATCTCTGACCTTGACCTTCACAGATATTGCTTATATGGTAGTAGACATTCCAGAACACACACACATACACACACTCAACACTAAGGGTCCTGGCAAGTAAAGACACATTTTATTTTTCTTTTACTATATTGCTGCTAGAATGCAGGGTAGGATCCCCATCTAATTCTTCCTTTTGCTCTAAGAGCTGAACGTGTTTTCTGAACCATTGGAAGAGTTCAATGAGGGGCACCTGGGTGGTTCAGTTGGTTAAACATCCAACTCTTGATTTCAGCTCAGGTCATGATCTCAGGGTTACGAGATCAGGCCCCTCTGCTGGGCTCTGTGCTCAGCAGGGGATGTGCTTGAGATTCTCTTTCTCCATCTCCCTCTACCCCTCCTCTTCATTTACATTCTCTCTCTCTCTCTCTCTCTCTCTCTCAATAAAGTAAATCTTAAAATAAAAGGAATTGTTCAATGAATGTACACAATGTATTTAAGTTTGGTTTCAACCATATGGTAGCAACAAAACCACCTCAAGTTTTCAGTTACCTCCAATAGAAAATGTTTTCTGGGCATTTATATTTTATTTGTCAAGGCGTTATATGTTGCAAGATAGTCAAATAAATCTGTTTTGGGGTGAACTGGACTTTGCTTAGATCTTTGCAGTTGCTTAACTTCTTTATACCTCCATTTCCTCATGCATGCAATGGGAATGGTTGTATATCTCCCCCATCTTTCAAGTGAGAGGACTAATTAAGAAAATTCACATAATGAGCTAAGCAAAGTGTCAAGGACGTAATAATCCTACAATAAATGTTAGCTGACCCCATCACGGTCATCATCATTGCCTTCAAGTTTTAATCCCACCCTGAATCTACTGGACTTCCAGATGGAGAATAGCTTTTCATATTAGTCTTCTCATTGCAACAGGAAGATTAGATTAATCTCATTTAAAAGGAAGATGTTATGGGACGCCTGGGTGGCTCAGCAGTTGGGCACCTGCCTTTGGCTCAGGTCGTGATCCTGGGGTCCGGGATCGAGTCCCGCATCAGGTTCCCTGAGAGGAGCCTGCTTCTCCCTCTGCCTATGTCTCTGTCTCTCTCAGTCTGTGTCTCTCATGAATGAATAGGTAGATCTTGAAAAAAATAAAATAAAATAAAATGAAGATGTTAGAAGAAACGGGCCAGATGAAGTACCATCATCACACCTGAGATTGGAAGTGCTGCAAAGCAAGGTACATCACTGATAGCTGATTTTTTTAAAATATTTAATTTATTTATTCATGAGAGGTGGAGACACAAGCAGAGGGAGAAGCAGGCTCCCTGTGGGGACCCCGATTCGGGACTCGATCCTGAGGGATCATGACCTGAGCCAAAGGTAGATGCTCAACCACTGAGCCACCCAGGTGCCCCTGGAAGCCGATTCTAAGAAAGGCAGGTTGATCCAGTTGCCAAATGAAGTTGACGAGGCTAAGTTTTTAAGAGTATGAGAACACTGAATAATATTTTTACGTCACCCAATGCCATGAATTGAAATGTTTCCAAAGGTCTCACAGATAAGACTTTTGAGGGGGTTTAAGTTTAACCTTCCAAATGCTGAAAGCCTGAGAAGCTTCCTTGCTTTGGATGGCTACTTTGGGATGGGTAAAAACTGAACAGTTAGAAGAAAAAAAGAGGGTCTTCCTCAATACACTATTGGAATGTGAAAAGCATTGTTTACTGTAATGCACACAGGGGCCTCTTTTCATCATTCCACAAAATTAAAGCTGAGAAGTTCCATCCAAAAACCTGGCCATGGAAATCTCTAAAAGCCAACCCGGTGGCCAAGGCAATAAAGAAAATTCAATCAACTCCTCAGAGCCACATCAGGTCAGTAAAGGCCAACTGCTGTGTAGCCGACACACCACCATGCACACACACGGAACCAGCACTGTAAAGTTCATTATCTTCTTCTCAGCTTTCTGCCTCACCTGTACAATTGCTTCTTTTGTCTATAGGATTTCACAGAATGAGTCGGCATGAAAGTCAAATAAGAAACCATGGGGAATCCCTGCCCAAACCTTGTTTTGTACCCGAAGTTCCAATGTGTTTGTTTAACCTTCTATTTATTTCTTGTCTTTTCACGAGCTGACCTTTCTAGTCTTAGTCTTTGCCATGGTGTGCCACGACAGAGGGTGGTTCAATGAGACCCTGCTACCATGTGACAAAGAAACTCTTATGAGCGCTCTATGAATTGTTTCATTCATCCGGTGCAGGCACTGGCACTCCCTTTGTGTGCCACCAAACCTGCCATTAAAAATTGGAAAACATCAGTCTCAACACACAGGTACTTCCCATCTTCAGACACCGAGGCCAAATATTGGGTGGTGAACTCCAATTTTTTGCTTTTCCTCCAATTATTTCCCTATTGGACGGTCTTGAACCGCAATTCAGATTGCTGACCCTGGGAAAGGCAGCTTTTTGAATGGGGATCAGGATGTTTATCCTATGTAGCCAGATAATTGGAGGAAAATTAGGCCATGCATTGAGCTTGATCCTTAAGTTACCTGACATGAAAGTAACACGGTGACATCACACGCGATGTGACCAGTTTACTAACGTAAGCTTCTCTAGGAAGCAGGCTAATTAATCATTACTCTGAGGTAGTGTACACATATTCCTGCCAACAAATGGTGAAGTTCTTACGGGGGTGGTGCCTCTAAGCACCATGAAACATTAGCCTCTTGCTGGAAGGGTATAGCAATCGAGTTGGAAACCAGCTAAATGGTTAACCTGGGAACAAGCATGGTCGCTTTGTCTTTCAAGTCTTTTAAGTGCACTGAGAATCTCTGGTAGGAATAAGCAAGAGGCCTGGTTGGGAGTGAAGTGAGAAAACAGCCATATGAACGAAGACAGGACTTGTTTTTCAACAACACTGAAGTCAATCAAAGGAAAGTACCTGTGAATTCCCTTAAACGAGGGGCTGGAGGGTATCCTGTGGTAACTATGTTACGGATAGCTACTTTTTTTTTTCTTATTTCATCAATTAGTATTGTTAAAGAGGAGCCTGACTATAGAGTTCCTAACAGCAGCAAAAATAAATTCTCTCCAATTAAGTAGTCTAATAAGCTATTTAGGATTTTACCACTTAACATTCTTTCCTTCCCATTTAATTTCGGCTTTCACTTGGATGTCATCTTGTTGAAAATCCATCACAGGAAACTATGTGGGGGAAAAAGATAATGTTGCTAAGTGCCCCTGATGCTCAAAAACGAGCAGAAGCACAATATTTTTTCTAAATCACCCCAGGATTTTTCCTAATAATTCAGCTTCTTCCTACTAGAAATTAATATATGAAAATATATGAAAATGGTCAATATGCAAATTCAAATATCACACCAGCTACTTGCCTTCAGTAAGTGCTATATGCATAAATTTGAGACAATATTCTAAGGTTCTCGATTATAATAATGCCTTGGTGTGCATATGTGCATGTATAATTATGCTCATTTAATTTAATCATGAAAATATTATAGGATCATTTGGTTTTTTCCTCTAAAAGTTCTCTCACTTTTTTCAATTAATTAATTCTTCTTTGCCCCTTCTAGAAGTCAGCTGATGGTAAGTAATGGTTTTTGAGCTAATGGGAATACGGTCACATTCCTTTGGAATCATGGGCAGAAAAGAGGCATATGGGAAGGTGATGGATGGCCTCTGTATCTTTAGCATACATTCTAGTCATGGAACTGTAGGCTTTTCGGTAGAACCTGGTCCTAGAAATACTCTCATTTTATGGTCACTTCTTCCTGCAAGTTTTCAGTGTCCCCGAACGCTGAGAATTTGCCCAGGGGCAGTCACCTGATTACAAGAGAGGACCTGGAAACCAGCTCATGTGACCCACACATTCCACATGCTTGCTGGAGTGGAGCTTTGGGGACTTTGCAGAATTACTGGAATCACGTGGGATATGCAGAGGGAAATGACAGGGTGGAGGACATTTAGCTTAACCGTGCACTAGAAGAACAGATAACGCCCTGGTAAGTGGAACGAAACGGACCTTTCTGAATGAAGGGGAAGACACATGGCATAAAGGCATTTCCTATTACCCTTCCCCCATCAAGGAAATCTTGTTTTCTTTCCCTCAGAAAAAAGATGTCTCTTTTTCCCAACGTGTTAACAGAGACCAATGAAAAGAAATAGGCTGCTTTGTGCCCATCAATAGAATCTATATAGCATCTTTCCCCCCCAGGGATTAATTCAGCTTTTGATTAAATCTTTCTGAGATTTAAATCATGATGTTACAAACCTCCAAGGAACTCCTCTATGAGTTGTGACCTTCTTTATTACTCTCTGCTGTTTGGTAAAGTACGAAGATTGATTTATAATGGTGTATAATGTGTTTGAAAACAAGGGATGGCAACAAGAATTGCAAAATGTAAGATTCATATAAAGTAAATATTGCAAAAAGTATGCTTTAGTTAAAATATTCTATAATTAATGCTGAGTTACAACTGTGTAGCTAGTAACACTAGTGTCAAATGAGTATAATAATGTTGTTAGGGCTGTAAATTATATCCAATGATTAGCTAAATAATCCTACAATGGGGAGGAAACGGCAATGCTGAAAAGGGATTTTGAATATCACATTGTACAGTTGAGACAGATTTAGTTTAGAAGACTTTTGAATTGAGACAAGCTCTTTTTAAATAAACTATTCATATTCAGTGTTCATTTATTTTTATCAGCCTAATTTTGGTTTCAATAATTATTTTGCCATTAGTATCATCAAGGATGGAAGTGATTTAATGTTTTGAGGACAACACAAAATAAATCCTTTATTTTTAACCAGAATATCCTAGCACCAGACCAGCGGCTACTACTGTTGTTTCTTCAAATTCCCTCTTTACTTCAAAAGGTTTTTAAGGGCAAAAGGTCAACCCTTTAAAAGAAAGACCTGCACTTTTTTTTTCTCATGTCTTTGCTGAGTCCAGCCAGAAGATTAAAAGTGCCGTATACAATTTAAGCATCTATGGGAGACAAGTCAGAATCTGAGGACAATCCACCAGGAGGGCTTGGTACCCGCAGTTATAAGGCGACTGCGATATTTGGGTAAGATCATGTTAATTTTTATTTTCTGTTTTGATAAAAATGACTGGCAAGTCTTAGAGTCGTATAAAATAGAAATAGAACAGTGAGCAGTTAACACAGTGCTTCTTGGGTTATTTAGCAGATTCCAATGTACTATTGATAGCTCTATCACATTTCCAGTAATTACAAACCCTTTTTTCTCTAGGAGATGGGGGGCGAGGGCTGCGATATATTTAGCCCCCTTCCCCCAATGCCATGTGTATAGTGGGTCTTGCAATGCAGGTGGCTGGGAGTGGGGACAACCATGTGAAATCGGAAGAGGGCAGAGCACGTGCAAGTGCATTCTCTGTCATCTCTGTCATCAGGCCACCAGTCACCTGCGAGGCACAGAGAACAGACATCCTGACAGCAAGCTGAGCTATCACCTCGTCCCATATGACTTACATGCGATGGGGGCTGCATCCTGTTACAAGTCCTTGAAACGTGCTCAGCCCATCTGAATTGCTTAGAAAGCAATCCCTAAGCTGAATATTCAGCAGGATTCTCACTAGGGGCAATGGCTTGTACTCGAAAATACAGACTTTCTATACAAAAACAGAATGAACCCATTTCTCAAAGTCCCATGTCATTTCTCGTTGTAGAAACCACTTCCACCTTTGCCACGTGAAAGGAGAAAAGGTAAAGCACAGGTCTACGTTACCTTAGAGCTGAGATCCATCCATGAACATGCAGAAGCAGGGAGAGAAGGGGGGAGATCCAGAGAGGAAACAGGATAATGAAAAGCAAGTAATGTGTACTGATCTGAGAAACATGCCAGGAGTTTGGTTATAATAAATAAGAAAAGCAGAAGTAGATTTGAAACATTCGTTTCCCTTTATTAGCTCAGTGAGGCTGATGTGTACTGCACATTTAAAAAAAAATCACAGGAATTTTCATACAATGAATAAAACCACAACAATACATGTAGAATTGGCAGGTGGAAAAAAAAAAAAAAAGCCCGGCAAGGGCTGAACTAATCGCTCACTTTCCCTCTTCAGCATAGTTCAACCAACAGTGTTACACTTTCACCTACAAATCTTAAAGTAGCTCCATCAAATCAGCAGTTCACATTATTGAAAATGTCTGTCACATAGGTACAAATTTAGAATCATCACATTATATTACATGGCTATTCTAGGTCATCTATAGATCAGGTCTTTAGACTACAGTGATTGAAGTTCTCGTTACAGCCATCAAAAAAGGACACATAATCATTACCTACTGTAAGCTCACATCTAAAGGCATGAAAAGGTTTCCTTTTTTCAACTGACCCAACCATCATACCCCAATAGTGCAAAGTTCCCTCTCTGCTGCTTTGACTGTTGACAGCCCAACCGCGTTGTTCTCAGAGTCGTTTAGCAAAAATTGATTTTGTTGCACTGGAAGAATTATTCTGCTACATCTCTTAAAAAAAAAAAAAACACCCACATTTCTAAAGCACCAGTTCGGTTACCAAAATTGTAGATGTGGTACTTACCACAGCATGAAGGCAATGGCCTGCGGTCATCTAAAAATCCTACAGTTCTATGCTGAAATTTGCCTCCAGTGATGATGGGGTGCATGTGTTCACTTGAAATATTCTCTCCAAAAAAAATTAAAAATAAAAATAAAAGGAACACAGTTTACATTTTGATGGACTACCCACAGGGTCGGCGTAAGATACAAAAAGCTCTATTCAGATGGGTTAGTGATTCTCTCTTTGCACTAATTTTAGATGCAATTTGAAGTCCATAGAGGAAAACTATCTTCATGGTAACAATATTTGTCAGGCCAGAGTGGGGATAAATTAATCCTCAACGTGAAATCTGTAGCATTGTCTTTTGATAAGTAAGAAAAGAAACCAAGTATTTTACTCATGTCAACAATCCAGGGCAAAAAGGAGAATGTATTTAAAATTGGATCACAAAAATTTAAAGGCAAAGTAGAGAACGCATCTGGTCCTTGAACACATAATATGATTTACTAAATATTGATTTCTTAAAAATAATTTATTGCTCTTAATAGTCTTTTTATTATTATTATTCTACAACAGAAGATACTCAAAATTCAGAAAGAAAGACTGTAAACTTTAGTTTGGCGTTCACACAGAGTTAAAATATCTGCATTTAACCTACAGAACAACAAGAATTAGGCGGATTAAAGATATGTTACTGCCGTAACGCAGAACCTGTGAACAAGTTCTTTTATTTCATATTTTTTTTTATTGCTTTCTATCTACTTAGAAATAAGAAGCCAAAAAATCAAGCAAGCATCCGACAGGACAGACAGTGGATTCACTCAGAACACAATATGCTGGTGATAAATGAATGCAGCTATCAAAATTAGCTGCATTGGCCTGGGGGTGAAATCCGTTTTATAAGATTGTGTTGGGCGAGAGAAAGGAAAAAGAACGATTAAGTAGTAGGTATATCACATCTTCCAGAAAAGTCGTGTCGGCCAAACTGTAATCGAATCTCAATTTAGAAACTTGAATACACACTCCAAACTTTACTGACTTCCTTTCCAGGGGCTCCACACTCAGATGAAATCCTGATGCTCAAAATGGAGGTTTTTCGGAAGTTTTTATTGAATTTAGCAGAAGCAATGTCATCAAGAACAACATCATGGTCACGTCAGAGGCCAAGCTAGTGCAAGTAGAAACACCGCTTCTGCAAAAGCTGAATTTCCCAAATGAAACATTTCAACTCCAACCTGACAATTGCCATGCATCCTAGGTAGAAAATTTCCACTGGCTTTATTATTTTCATCATCTCATAATTTATAATAAATAGGCTATCTGCAACTGATAAATATGTCTCTTTAGTAAACAAAGGAATGAATTATCAGTATTTATACAGGATGCATAACTGTAAAAAATACAGATAAATACCATCATCATACTCTGCCAAGGGAAAGAGATACTGGCTTCAAGAATAGTCTTCAGACACACATTGATTATTGTAAAAATCATACTGTAATTATTACCTCAGCATTTTGTATCAAATTAAAATCACAAAAATTAAAACGAAACAGCATTTTAAAAAGATTTCTGACCTCTAGTTTCAAAACTACTGTTGATAGAGAAAATAAAAACATTTCTTAATGGTTACCCATTGAGAGACTTTACATAAAATCATGATATCTCCTAGAAAAATTTTAGATGAGAAAATTTCATTCCCCTAACAAATCCAGTGTATAAAACTTCAAAGAAAAACAAGCAACAAGAAAATGTGGAAAAATATCGCATAAGTGGTTACTACCTTTAGGGGGCTAGGATATTTCTTGACAAGATGCTTAGATCGAAGCTCACCTAAGAAGGGATGGATGTGCATAAAGCATCATTTTGTTGTTGTTGCACTCGACGGACACACACACTGTCTTTTTTTGTTTGTTTGTTTTTACAATCAAATATATATAAGCAGTAAGTTCAGCTTCTAGATATGTTAGTGTACAATAATTGTATCACCTCATAATTACATTTGAATATTCTTGATTAAGAAAAATTTAGCAGTTTTGAAAAGAAGGCTGCATTTACAGTGCATAGCTGTAACAAAAAAAAGAACATTGTTGTATAGTATGTACACAAAATAAAAATACTCCATTTAACATCTGTAAATACTTCACTACATCAGAGAATGTAGCAGTTACACTATCTGAACACATACCAGAGAGTTCTAGCCAACTCTCATTAGTAATGTAACACCGTGCCCGCTCCTCAGAAAGAACCACTGAACAAGCTGCACGCTTGACCATTGACAAGGCTTTTGAAATTTGCAGTGGAAGATCAACATTTTGGACATTTACATGGGTGTCAGGATAGAGGATGAACTACAGAAACTTCAAAATGTTAGGAAAGTTTAGCATTCCGGTGCCCGCAGCATCCTCTCCCACCCAGACTCCATGGCAAAAGGGAAAAAGAGGAGGGGGAGAGACAGAGAGACAGGAAGGAAGAGAGAGATGGAGGGAGAGATGGAGGGAGGGAGGGAGGGAGAGAGAGAGAGAGAGAGAGGGGGTATTAGTTCTACACAACAACCTGTGGTTTCTTCGGGATTGTCATATAACCATTATGTTATGAGAGAAAGCTTGCTTCAGGTTGATTTTGCACTTTCTTAAAAAACAGAGTACAGAGGTTGATGCCCAGACATCAGTGGCTGTCATTTTAGGGTGGTTTGTGGTTGGTTGGTTAGTTTTCTTTCCTTTTTGAATTTATGCATTTTTTTTCTTTTTGAATAGAATATGAACATTTTGAAGTTCTAGGTTTTAAGTGTGTCTTCACGGAACTGCTGCCATTTGAAGCGGTTTGCCCTGGCACACTCTGGTCAGGTGCCCCCAGTCCCCACCTGTACATACATGCTTTCCCCAAACCAGGCGTGCACATGCGCACACACATACACGCACACACGCACCCACACGCGCGTGCACACACACACACACACACACACACACACACACACTCCATCACCAAGAGACTCCAGGGAAAGAAAGCTGACACCCATGAATACACATGTGCTTACTGGATATCCATCCTGTCTCTTGCCTCTTCAGCAGCTGTGTTCATGTAAACCATTGTTGTTGTTCTTGTTGTATTGTTGTTGTTTTGTTTTGTTTTTTATACAGAGAGTGTAAAGTAGGAGAAATTCCTAAGTATGACTTGCAATAGTCAGTTAGGGAAGGACGCGCTGTCCCGTGAGGTATTCACCGTCCCTCTGTCATCTTCAGCCAGGGAACATGTTACCTGCGCAAGCTTCTCTGAGCTTCTTTCAGTAAACTATCGAAATCCAGAGAGTCATACTTGCTCTTGGTGGAAGCAGGGTCAAAGTCATCTGAGTTTGAATCTGCAAGAAACCCACGTCGAGTTAGACACACTCTTGTCTTTAACTCAATCATCCGATTCAAGAGTACGTGGCTCAATAACAACTTATCCGATCGAGATACCGTAAAAAATATACCCAACTTTTATTAACATATATATATATATATTCATACATTTTATTGGTGCATATATTTTGTGTATATTTATATTTGCAGAGAATATATATACCCAATATTCCATTGTCATTTTATTCATATATATATTATTCACATTTAAGTATAATTTATAAATGATACATCTATAAATTTATACATAATTACATATAGTATGTTAAATAAATATTTTGAAAAATCTATATGTGTTGACAGAGAGAGAGAGAGAGAGAGAGAGAGAGAGAGAAAGGAAGAGAGAGTAGAAGATTAGGTAATATGTGTACAGAGGGTAAGGAGTAGTGAGCATTAGGGACCCCTGAGTGGCTCAGAGGTTGGGCACCTGCCTTCGGCTCAGGTCGTGATCCCGGGATTCGGGATTGAGTCCTGCATCGGGCTCCCTGCGAGGAGCCTGCTTCTCCCCCTGCCTGTGTCTCTGTCTCTCTCTGTCTCTCTCTGTCTCTCTCTCTCTCTCTGTGTCTCATGAATAAATAAATAAATCTTAAAAAAAAGGAGTAGTAAGCATTTAAAACACTATTTTTTTAAAAAAAGATTTCATCTGTGGATTTGACAGAGAGAGCAAGAGAGCACAAGCAGAGGGAACAACAGAGAGAGAGAGAAGCAGGCTCCCCCCACGCAGGGAGCCCGATGTGTGGCTGGATCCAAGCCGAAGGCAGATGCTTAACCGACTGAGCCACCCAGGTGCCCCTAAAACGCTAATTTTTGACACATTTTAGTCTTTAACAATCCCAGGAGGTAATCAGAACAAACTTTAACATTTCTGATCAACAGCAACATATTCAATCAATATATTTTAAAAATAACCATGTCCTGTCCCCTTCTTGGAGTGTGAAATGATTTACCCAAGGTTCCTCAACAACTCAAGTGGCGAGGTCAGAGGAGACACTGGACTAATTTTCCTGTCTAATGGGATAGATTTCACTGAACATAAGAGTCAGGAGAGTGGGAGGGGGGGAGAGTCTTCAGAACTTCACCTACTCCCCACCTGGCTGCTCTCCTTTCGGGCAGGAGGAACGTACGATCCATCCATCTATCCTAGGACCTTGGGAGCACCCCAACGAGAGTGGCACAGATTCACCCCCAGATTGAAAGGTACAGGGAAACACTTCATGCCCGGAGAAGACAAAGTCAACCTCAGTAAAACAAGAGGGAAAAGACACAGGTATAAATAAAACCATGGTCTTTCTTGAATTCTTGAACCAGTCCGAGTCAGCTCTTGTGAAAAGCCCCACAGACTTCACATAGCCCCTTAACGGATGCAACATGAAATTCTGATTATAAATATTTCTGATTTTTCTCCAGTGACATTTATAAAAAAATCAAATATTTCTGCTGGTCTTGCAAATGAGGAGAGACATCTTAGAAATATAACAGAAAGCGTCTCGCAAATAAATTCATTCTTTTGAAAGCACTTCCTTGAAGGGAAAACAAGAGTCCTTTCTGGAAGTATGAAGAATCCTACTCCCAGAGGATATTTCTGTGTTTTGTCTAGAATGTTACAAAACAGAAATGTCCGAAGTGACAGGAGAGGGTAATACTCTTTTTATTTTTTATTTATTTATTTTTATTTTATAGGGACTTTTTCTTCTGTTTACTACTGCATCCCCAGCATGTTTTACTTATCTGAGGGTGCAAAATGTTTTTTTCCCCCTCCTCCCCTTTATTGCAGGAAATGGTGTGCACACTCACAGTGGAGCCTGAACAGATGTCCATTTTGCTTTTGCACCTGTGAGTGTAAATTCTGGTGGTAAAGGGAACTATTGATGGGTAATATAGTTATACTGAGTTACCTCCACCTTTAAGAATTAGCTATTTTTGACTTTCCTACCCATATTCAGAGAATCCTCAGAACCAAATGGTGACTAATGAAGGTAGAAAGGCAAAGTCCTATGCTATATTAGGTGCCCTGAATTAATCAGGGAATCAATAAAACTAGTTTTGGATATAATATTACAAACAATTCTGGGAAAGGAAACTTTAGGAAAAAGCGGGGTAGCATGCGGCACGCTCACCGACCTCACAAGCTGTTTGGACACAAAGGCTGTGGTCCCTCAAGCTCTCCAGCACCAGGCTGATTTTTGGCCCTTGCTTCTACCTCAGCCATCTTAGATTTAAGACAAGGAAATTCCTTTACTTTTTTTTTTCTTTCATTCTTACCATCCCTTGTATTTATTGACTTTATGTTGAGCAAGTTTTTCCAGGTAAAGAACACCAATTGCAGTCGGCCTCGGACATTTCTAAAACACAGGACAAAAATGGCCAATCTTTCCTCACTAACATCTTATAGAGTCAATTCTTTTTTTTTTAATGATCCTATTTATTTATTCATGAGAGGCACAGCGAGAGAGAGACAGAGACAGAAACAAGGGCAGAGGGAGAAGCAGGCTCCATGCAGGGACCCCGACATGGGACTCCATCCTGGGGCCTGGGATCACACCCACAGCCAAAGGCAGACACTCAACCTCTGAGCCACCCAGGCGTCCCTAGTCAATTCTTAAATCACACCAGCTCCCACCCCTCTCGTCATAGATAGCCTGATAAGCAGTTGGCTTGTATCACTAAAGCCTCACGAGCAGCTGTCACTCCAATCAAAATCCTTTTTTTGTAGAGACGCACATACAAAAAGTCCTGCTCATTGCTTGAGATTAACCTGAAATCAGAATGTCACTTGCATGACAAGTAAAGTTAGAAGAAGAGGCTCCTGATGACTGGAGTCTGCACTAAGTTCAGTTCAGAAACGTCAGGAACACACAAACCGATCTTGCCTTGAAGGACATTTTGAGAATATTTAAAATATCTTAACTTTGGGTTACTCTACATCAAATCCAGAATTTTTGTGTTTCCATATTTCTTCATATATAGCTATATATATATATATATATATATTTGGACAAAGTGGTTCTCTAGAGTTTCTTCACTATAAAATATGATAGCTCGTATTTACATCGATGTGATCACTGACACAGGTGGACTGTGTCACACAATAGGCAAACACAAACTCTTTTCTGCTGAATACATGGTTACATGCAACTCCAGAGACAACATCTATGCCACTAAAGGATGTTGCAACACAAGCAAGAGATAATGAAATTTTGACAGGAAAAAGCCAGAAGCCACTCTAATTAATTTTTTAAACAAATTGTTATAAATAATAAGTAAATAAACAAATAAATAAATAAACATGTTAATGTTATAAAAATGTTATAAATAATATAAATAGAAACACATCACAATACAAATGTATTCTTACCACCTAGAAAACTGTTGGCACAAAGCAGGTGCTAAAACTAGAATTTGTTGAATGAATGTATTAATCATGAACACCAGCATTTAAAAAAAAACATGGATGAAAATATTTATGTTAGGATCTTGGGATGATTTACCAATGAATGCCAAGGGTAAATATAAAGTTATATATATATATATATATATATATATATATATTCAAGATGCTTATAATGGAATATAGTTTTTTGACTTAATAAAGAATTTGTGATGAATGTTATTTATTTCATCTTTCCTGTATGTTTAAGTTCTATACCATAAACTAATTCCTGATGAATACATTATTATATTCTTAATACTGACCCATCCTTCTCTTTTGTTCCTATACTCCTAATTTTAATTTCTATCTTTGAGAAAGAACCACCTGTTTATAAGACAGTAAACAGACTCAGAGATTACAGATTCACGGAATCCAGGTTCAAATCCTGGCTTTACCCAGGTAACCTTGATTGTCCCTTTAAACCCTGAGTCTCACTCATAAAACCGGCTCATAATATTAACTCAGAATCGTTATATTTTGCACTCTGAGTGTTGTAGTAATCACTAGGCAGTCCCAATAGTAGAGGAATAGGATGTATGAGCTAATTTAATTTAGGGAGCAAAACAGAAAAAAAAAAAGAAAGGCTAAATCTATCTAAAATGATAGGTTGCTTCACTCTTGGTAAAATTAATCTATATAACATCATTTTCACTAACTCTCAACAGACACGCAGGTGAGTTCCCAGTCCCTTTAAGTATCTAATATGGTCTCGTGTTCACCAAATTCACTGGTCGTGCCCTGAAGCATTTAACTTGAGCTCTTCAGCGGACAAACACAGGACACGTATGACTGTACGTTGTTCGGTTCCAGAGCTGGGCCCCTGACGTTGGTGCTTTCATTGTAAACTAACTTGACATTTCTAACTTCTCATCACCGTCATTTTTTATTATAATCGCAGCTACTATTTCTTGAGCACCTACTTTATGCCAGACAACCATGGCAACCGCTTCACAAACATCTATTGAATCTTTGCAAGGACATGAGGAGATAGTTTACAAAGGAAGAGGGAGGCAGAGGGAGCTTCGTTGTTTGCTCAAGGTCAGAAGCTAAGTCAGGTTTCAAAACCAGGTCTGTAACATTCCAAAGCCGGGGCTCTTTCCACTACGCCATGCCTACGCTCAGGTGACTACCCTTCGTGAAATTGTAGGGCTTCAGGGAATTGGGAAAACCCATGCTACTACAATACACATCAAACATACTTTTCAGAAAATACAGAGCCAGCTTAGCGCCGGCAGAGTTTCTATTGCTGCTGGCGAGGCAGAAAGATAACAAGAGGGGAAGCATTCTTCTTAGAAATATTTCAGGGAGGCTCTAGTTCAATTTGGAAATACCATCCAATCCTCCCTCTACCAGTGATGAATCGTGATTTAAAGGCCCCTCTAGGTAGCTTATTTTAAACTCTAGATGTTTTGAAAGACTGGAAACACCCTGGCCTTCATCACTGAGGAAAATAAGTCAAATCAACTTAAGACTTCAATCCGTCTTGACTGTTTTTATCAGCCAACATTTGAACAAATGACTTGCCACCTTTTATATTTTCATCCCTCGGCCTCTATCTCTCTGACAGTCAGCTGCTTCTCCCCTGCTTCATACTATCTATTTAGCTTGTGAAGTGAATTATAGCATATTCCCCTGAACAATGCACACCACCTATATCAATTACTTTAGGAAGACATCACTTTGGTGGAAGGGAGAAAAAAAATCCCTATATTTGGTATTCATTTCTTTCTTTATACCGAGCCAAAGCAAGGGCAGACAGGTATATAGTAATGCTGAGGAATACATTTATATGTTAATTTTATGATGATGATGATTATAAACTGATTTAAATTATTTACGTCATATGCACAAGACATTTGCCATTTCGTTCCTTCATTCCTTCATCAAAGGACTTAAAGGTTTCCAATACATTAAATAGGGAATGGCAGGCAAAGGGACCAAATTAAAACAGGGAAGAAAATTAAGATGTCCATTTTGGCATTATTTATAATGGCCAAAAAATTGGAAGTTGAATAAAGGTTTAGCTATAACGGGATGATTACATATAACGGTATCACCTAACACAATACTGTGCGACCATTTAACTAAGTTGATAAATTATTTTTAATCCTTGAGAATATGGTGGAAAATGAACTTATGTAATATGAATTGAGAAGAGCTGAATTTAAAAAATGGATAGATCTAAATTATGTGACCGCCACCTATAAAAAATTAGACATCCTGAGACAAAACACTGGACGGTAAGTCACACAGCAGATCTCTGGGTGATGGGCTGACAGCTGATCTGACTATTTTTCTTAATACTTTTCATATTTTCCAAAATTTACCCCTTGAGTCTATATAAATTTTATAACAGGGAAAAGGAATATTTACAAATGCTTCAGTTTCCTTACCTATAAAAGGAGGATGATAATAATAATAACCACCTCCTAGGATTGTTCTGGTAATTAAATAAGAAAATGCTTGCAGAGCCCCTGGCACAGTGCCTAGCATATGGAAACACTCAAAAAAAATAACAGTTTTCTTTCCTCCTTTTGTTTTAAAGGAAGTGTAGTGTGATTTAGCATATGAAATTATATTTTCTCCTCTCAAGGTGTAATTTGTAGAATGTGTCTTAACATTTTTAAGAGATTGTAGGATAATAAGGAAAAAAGAACCAGAATATTCTGTTGCATATTCTGTTCCATAAGACAACAATGATAATGCAAAGGTTTATACAGAAGGATTCAGGGCAGGCACAGAAAGCAATAGCACATTGCAAACCTATGCAAAGACACACACACATACACACACACACATATGCACACACAACATAAACACATGCAAGCACGCACATACACACACAACCAGTGCAGACTCTCAGCATTTGGGAAGACCGTACAAAGAATTTACTTCTGCTCTTTGCTGCCAAAACCTAAGCCCTTTGCTTCTGAAACTGTCTTGCACCTTAAAAAAAAAATTTAAAAGTAAGATAAAATCTGTATCCAAACATTCCCTCTAGCAAAATAAAGTGATGGTCCAACCCAATATGCCTACGGTTTACATCTGCTTCCATTTTGAGCCCTACATTATGGATTCCTCGTTCCATGTACAATAAAATCCATACCTAGGTCTGCATAGTTAGACTTGAAAAATTGCTTGCGTCCACAAAAGTACAGCTCGAAGTCAGTTTCATTCGACCTGCGCAAAGTGTATCCATTTTCAAGAGCAGCAAAAGCATCACAGGTATAACGGTAGGTAATGAAACCATAGCTGTCTCTGCAGTGGACAAAGAAGAGAGGTTCGAAGCTGGTGAGGAAGCATTAACATATATGCCTGTAACCCTTCCTACTTTGGAAGACTCCGCTGGTGCCAACGTCTGAACCGCTGCATCCATTTATCAGTGTGATTGTCCTGTCAAGCAGCTAAATACTTATTTCTGGGACAGGAAATCTCAACTAGAAAGATTAATAAATAGGGATAAAAGAAAATAAATAAGGTTCTGAACTCAACATGTCATCTGTCAAAGCATTCCCATCCTAGTAATCTTATGGCCATAATTTTTTACATATGTCAGCTTCTAAACAAGAAATAATCTTGAAGATTCTTACCCATCATCCCGCAGATTTACTGTGCACTCCTCAATTTCACCAAAAACTTCAAAACGGTCCCTCAGTTCCGTCCGTGTTGTGTCAGGTCTGATTTTACCAACATAAATCACACGGCGTTCTTCCTGGGGAGGGGGGGGGGCGAGTAAGGAGAGACTTTTGCCAGTTCTGGAGATAGGAAGGAAGCTGCACCTCTAGAAACATTTCTAAATGCATAATCATGCATACCAAGAACCCACAGAGCATGCCAGTCAAAGCAAACCATCCACTAAAACTGAAAGAAAGACTACCTGTGACCCCAGTTTTAGTGTCCATTTTTCTATACTCCGAATTCAGTCTTTCTCCTCTATCTCCTACCCTGCATCTCACTCTCTTCTGCTTTTGCTCACCAGCTCTGCTCTCCTCTTGCATGAGCTTCTACATCTTAGGGAAGAAATACAGCTAATGCGATCTTTTTCTCACTGGGCAGCTGAACGATGCCTATTAAATACTGTAACACTTGTGACTTGATTCTTAATCTTCAAAATTGGTAAGAAACTGACCCAGCAAGCAAAACCGTTTAATTTCTCACTTTACTCAGGATTCTAATAATGAGACGTACAATTTTTGACATTCCCTCAAAATCATGATTTTAAACCCTAGTATAAATAAAAATTACCTGCAGTGTTTACTAAAAATGCAAATTATTGGGGGTTTATCCCGTCTGTACCAAAAAAAAAATTGGAACATACAATTCAATGATCTTCATTTTTAATAAGCACACCCTAGTGATTCTGATGCAGGTGGTCCAAAGACAATAGTTTGAAAAATACAGTCTTAAAATGTAGGCTATTTTAAGCCCCGGGTCTCTGAAGAATAAGAGCTATAAAAGAGGCTATAAATTTCACTTTGCCAATGAATCTTATTTTAGGAACAGACCAGAAGGGTGTGGCCTAATTTCACAAATGGAGTCAATATCATCGTAATCTGAAAGTCATCAGCAATTTATAACCTACAAAATATGGAAATAATATCTTATAGCCTGTTTTTCACAAAACAGTAAAACACCCTTCTTAGTGTAAGAAGCAATCCTCTATCAGTTGTTCTAAGAAGACAAGGCCAAAGGTGATAATGTCTCTCAAAACTAAGCGAAGGTTTTTCAAGAATGCAAGGAGTTAATATAAAGACTGTGCTTACCAACTCATCTATACGCTTACTAAGAACAAACAAGAATGAAATGAACTCGTGGCTGCAGAGGTTTAAGTTAGATGGGAGCAGAGATGAAGAAACACAAGACTAAGGCATATAGATTCAGCTTGCCTAAGAATTTCCTCTGGATATACCAGCAGTTTCCTGCCTTGGATGATGTAAAGAGTAATTTGGGCTTATGGCAAAGAGATGCCCTATGTTATTTCCCAAATATCTTTCCTTTTTCATACACCCAATATTTAGCAAAGGGCCTGGCAAAGAGAACTCAGAAAGCACTTGTGAGATATAAATGAGCAACTCACACAGATCTATAATATATACTCTCCTAGGTGATCTGATCATCCGGGCCTCATCTTCTTTTACCACATGCAACACTCATATTTCTGTTTTCATCAAAGAAATTCCTCGGGGCTTCAGACTCAAATCGCCAACTGTCTGACATCTCAGGCTGGATGTCCCCTGAGCACATCAAGCTAGGCCAACATTAGCCAAACCCAGGTCTCCAGTGCCACCCTCTCCCGAGTGGGTCTTTCTCCAGTGTTTTTGTGTCACTGAAGTTAATGCCATCTACCCAGGTATTCAGGATAAAAACCTTTCTCGATTCTTCCCCCTTCGTCCTCTCTACACATCCAATCACCCATTAAGCCCTGTTGGTTTTTACCTCCTAAATAACTACCTCTCTGCCCGCTCTTATTACATCTCCCCTAAACCAAGCTGCCAGCCTCTTTTTCTGGACTAGCAGGACAGCCTCTCCACTCGGATCCTGTGTCTATATTCACCCTCCTTTAATCTATTCCTTCACTTCAAACAGAATAATCTTTGCTAAGGGAACAGAAATATGATCATGTCAATTATTATCTAAAACATATCAGTGGCCTCATATAATGTCTAAGGGAAGACTTAAAGCATTAACAGGACCCACCAGATCCTGCATGGTCTGCACCTGTCTTCATCGTGGGCTTCACCTCCCACTTCCCGCTCTTCCCTTTATTTCCCAGCCACATCAAGCTTCCATCAGACACTAGTATATACTGTGCTCCTCTCATTCTCCAAGGCCTTCACACCAGCTGCCCCCTTGCAACTTGTAATATCCTCCCCACACCGCCTCTCCTCTTTTTCACCAACATACACATACCGTCTAAACTTTCATTGGACTCAATAATCGTTTCCTTTCTGAGACTTGAGATGAGGTCAAGCTTCCTCTTGGTTGTATTTATAGTATTCTCACTATTTCTCATTTATAGTTCTAAGTCCCATTATAATTAAATAGTTAATTCATTGTTTAATGTCCATCTCCCTCTTCAGTGAAATCTTCATGAAAGCAGAAATGACACCTGTCCCATTGACTATTGTGTTTTAAGGGTACTTGAAGCATACCAGAGTCTCAATGAACACTTGTTGAAGAATCAATCAATTGCCAATCAATTAATCATTTTTAGCAATTACCCTTATGCCCTTCATTACATTAAAGGTGCCTACGTGTAATCCTTGCTCTGAGGCAATGGAGAACAAAAGCCACATTTGATGCTTAATCATAGGGAAAACCCTGTCCAGGTAGCTCAGCTCAGTGAATTGACTAAGATCTCCATGAATGGTTTTCACAGGTTTAAGTGGAAGAAGTACAGAATAACTATATGTTTGCAGAACTCTCACTCTTAAAAATCACTTCTGAAAATCAGAGGTGGGGTTTCCCCTGAAATACTCAGTAAAACACAATTCCTCTGACAACAGCCATCAGGCCTAAATAATTGACCAGGTGAAGTAGAGCGAACAGAGTCGACTGCCTGATTCCCTTCCATGTAGATTGTATGTCGTCTCAATCGAAGGCTGTAATTGCATTGTTCCAGAGCACCCAGCACATCCTGGAGATCAATAAATACAAATGGATGGCAAGGCTCATCCTGGGGCAGTGTTGTACACTTGAGCAAGGGAGTCATAACACCACATTCCATTCTTTTTACGCAGCCAGCTCTAGCCAAACAGCCAAATGGGATAGGACCATTATCTAAACTTTCTGGCGCCTGCTTGCATGGGTGTTATGGTTTTTTAGTTGCTTTTTTTTTTTTTTAAATCAGCCCTTTTAGGAAGGTTACTACTATATAAAGAAAAAGGAGGGGGAAATACAGAAGAGAGAGAAAGAAATTGAACCATCACAAAGAAATTGCTCAACTACCATTATGGGAATACACACAGCCTACGTATTCAAGGAAATTTGAAGTTAAAGCTAAAATCGACCATATGCACGTCCATATGCAGACATATTGGGACAGTCTCTGAATTGCTTCTTTATACAAAACTGTATGCAACAATGATCCTACAAAGAAGATAAACCAGAGGACCTTTTCGGATACTGATACATTTTGCAGTAAAAAGAAGACACAATTTAGACGGGAAAAACAGAAACCCCAAGGGCTGGTGCACAATCATGTAAACTACCTATTTGTCTATCATCTCCTTTTATGAAACACAGGAATGGAACCATGTCTTCCTTACAAAGATCAGAGATTGAATACATGCTGAAATTCTCATTTTAGAAAATGATTAGAGTGCTTGGTTTTCCTAGTGCTAAAAATGAAACTAAAAGGCATCTGAAGGTCTAAAAGCAAAGACAAAAATCTTTCCAAGATTGGCCAAAATGTCTAGCAAAGAAGCGATTATTTTTAACATGTTGCAGTTTTATTAGACAGATGAATAGATTCCATATCTTTAAAAAACCTTAACATTTGCAGCCAATTTTTCAAGACATTAATTTCTAAACAGGAGATGAAAGGAAAAGAAATCAAAATGCTTAATAACATTTTCAACTTCTTAAAGGCTTGGAGGAACTCTAAACCTTTGGAAAAAGCTCCTTGAAAAATGATTTTCAGACCAGTTTTCACTATTGAGGAGGATGGAACATTCATCAAATATCTTTTAGCTTCAATTTTCACAAACGCTAGTTCGCTGATGGGGTGGATAACAAAATTGAAGATTTATATTGCATTAACAGGTATAGTAAATCATCATTACATCAAAATACAGGGGGATAAATAAAGAAAAAAAAACGGACTGAAATTAACTGACTTTGCATTATCAAACTCTTTATCAAAAAGAGAACAGAGCCTTCCAGTGAGCTGGGGAAAACATTTCAATGGTTGTTTCTCATCAACTAATAAGCTAGTCTTGGTAACAGGGATTTGACTAGGAGAAAGGGAATTTAGTATGGAGATTAACATTTATTGAATTCTAATATATGCCAAGTACTGTGCTTGATGCTTCTGTATGGGTGATCTCACCAAAATGCTCTGCAATGCTAGGTAACAATAAGGAACAGCCTGATATAATTTAGATTTCAGTTCCCAGAACTTTTATTCTATATTTCCAAGTCAGGATAATGTAAAGATTCTTTCTCCTATGCTAAGGAAACTGCATGTCAACTTCAGCCATGAAAGATTTATATTCATTTCCAGATTAGCTACCAACCTGACTTCCTTAGAAATTCCAAATACTGTATGTGAGATGAATGGATAAAATCTAAGCCATTTTAGGCTGAATGGTATAGCTAGGTCCTCCTTCTAAAAGATGAAGTGAGAGAGGTGGATGGTTGTGAAAAGTCCTATATGGACAGAAACAAATGCCAGAACCTTGACAAAATGTCAAAAAAAAAAAGTGTTGTTGTTTTTCTCTTTCTTTCTCTTTGTACCGATTACACTATTGAATTCAGTAGGCATTCAGTAAGTACCCACTACTAGGGAGCACTCTGAGGGGAGAAACAAAACTATTAGCACTCGGTTTTCCAAAGTTACTTGCCTCCAAGTACAACCCAAGAATACTCTTCCTTAGAGTATAAAGTTGGGTCAGTGCAAATAAATCCAGAATAGTCGACCTAGAGCTGACATGAAAGTAAACACAGCAATAGGGCAGAAAACACAGAAAATATAGACTGAGAGGATATAGGACAACTTTCAATAAAGCTGCTAATTTCTAAATAGTGAGCTTCAATTCATTATAGACCATATATTCTAAACCATACGAAATACCCCTTGAAAAAAGGCTTGGATAGAAAACTATTTTCTCCCAAAATAATAACTATGATAAATTACACATTTTTTTTTTCATTTGGAAGAAGCTGATAATTATCAGTGATGAAGCACTGTTCCTGGCTCCTGGGCTATATACTGACGAATGGAAGAGAGAAATAAAATGGCACAGTCATTGCCCAGGCACATCTGGTTTGGATTTCAAGCACTGAGCCATATCATAATGTGTAGATTTGCCCTTTAAATTAACATCCCATTATCATGTTTTCTGGCAGGAAATTGTACCGACTGCAAATGGAGTTGGACTTAGAACTCCACAAGAAATTACAGCAGTGACAGTTTAGACATTAAGTACCAAACTCTGGCTTGCAGAGTTCCGATTAACCTGAATTATTGCAAGCCTAGGAAGCTGAGGAAGGCAGAAGGTGAATCAGTTCTTGAGAAAAAGTTTTGGTGAAAAATCGAGAAAAGAAGAAACCAAACAATGGCAATGGTCAACCCCAACGGAAGATTCCGTGTCAGAAACTTATCATTAGTCTTCTCTTAACTCTTGGATTTGCTGTACTCAGGTTGGTCTGGATCAAGATTTCTAGACTCCTAAGCAATGAAAAGCTTATAGACCTCCTAAACCATCCCCTTATGGAACTCAAAACGGAAGCAACATGGAACACAGGACAAAGATAGCAAAGACTACTTTAATTTTGTAAAATATCAATTACTAGATGATTTTAACTTTTTTTTTTCATTTCCTTTTTGAGCCTCTGCTCTGATAGTCCTCTAATTATATGCCTGATCTGAATTAATAGATAACCAGCACGGTACCCTAGATATTCCAAATGTAATTTGCTCCTTGTTCATTACTTTAAGGGTGTCTCAAAAATATGAAGGGAAATCACCTACTTAACCAGCATGGGCGGAACATCCTATTTCCTTTTGCTGCTTCCTGAGTGATTTCTCAAGCTAATCCAGTCAAATGAGTCAAAACTCATTGCATGTACCTCTGTACCTAAGTCCATAAAAATACACTTTGCAAACGCACTGTGGCCCAAGAAAGTAGATCCTCTCGAAGAAGGAAATTGATCAGAAAATCTTCCCATGGGTAAACTCATTAAGTTCACTATGCCTTCAAGATAGACTTCAAAATCTTTATCATGACCTGCAGGACATTTTGGGGATCTGGCTTCCATGGAGCCCTCCAGACTCATTTCCTATTGCTCCTGTGCCCCATCGTTCTGCTTACGTGACTAGCAGTCTCCCAATACACCATGCTCCTGTCCGGAGACTTAGTGTGAGCTACAGCTTCTGTCTAGAATAGCAATGTCCAATAAAAATATAATGAAGCATATAGAGTTTTAAATTATCTAGGAGGCGCATTTTAAAAAGTAAAAAGAAACAAAATTTAATTTTAATAATGTATTTTATTTAGCTCAATATATCCAATATATTATCATTTCAGTTTGTCATTGATATAAAAAGTATTAATGAGGCATTTTACACTTTTGGGCTAAGTCTTCAAAATCCAATCATGTTTATAGTGCATCTTAATTCAGAACTAGCGGCTTTTACTATGTGCCTTGTGGCCACCATCTTCCATAGCACAGTTGTAGAAAACCTTTGCCCTTCTTTTCTTTCCTTCTTTTTTTTTTCTCCAAAATTCTTCTTTTCTTTTGATTTCAGATCAATCTCATCCTCTCTAGGGATGCCTTCCATCACTCTCAGGTCTAGGTGTCCAGCCCCTTTGCCACCAGAGTACCTTTGATTAACCTCTGCAATGGCACTTAACATACCCTCTTGCTTGTTTGCATATCTTTATCTGCCAGTAGACGAAGCTCTCTGGACGTGTGGACCAGGTCTTACTTACCTAATGTTACACCCCAAGCACGTAGCAAATGTTTGTCACATAAAGCATCTTGAGTTTTCACTTATGTTAAGCAGAAATAGCATATCATTGTCCAAGAGGGGATTAGTTTTAGAGTAAGTCCCAAATCTTTATGGTAAGCTCTTATTAACTATAATTCACTGTGTTGGTAAAGTAAATAATCTCTATGTCCCAGTTTTTGGGGAGGTTTTTGTTGTTGTTGTTGTTGTTTTAATCTCCTTTTCCAAAATAAAAACAAAAACACGAAAATCTGAAAGCCAAAATTCTGACAAACGCTTCGTTAATTTAAAATGACTTAATGTGAGCCAACTTGATATTTGTACTATATAGGCCATCTTTCAGAGAGAACTGAAAAAGGCCAACTTGCTCCAAGAGTTAACTAAAAAAAAAAAATGGTCAACATTAGTGACACAAAGGGAAGGCAGGAGGTATCTGCTTTCAGTCTGGGGCTAGTGACCTCAAGGTTGCTTTTGGCACAGGCATCAACTATGGAGAGGAGACCAATCACACTATTTGATGTTTTGGAAAGAGCCAACTAATGAAAAGACCCCTCCCTCCCCTTATACACTTTTGTTAAGTATCTGGCACTAAATTATCTTTGGAAAGAGGAAAAGAAGCATGCCACTTAGCTACATTTATCTGGACAGCTTTGCCTATAGTGGTATATTTTGCCCAAATGAGCAAATACATGATGGAACTATTAATCCCTCTCTTCAATGTGATACTTTTGGGAAGAAACATGAAGGATTTCATTAAATATGAATCCGCAAACACTGAAATAACAATTTTCCTACATGCTTGCTCAACATGATTCTCTTTTGTAAAGATTAACTGTAATGTGCCATATTAAAAGGCTTTGTAAACTATATGGCATTATATAAATGTGAGTTATTATAATTATTGAACAGGCTATTAATTAAATACAGCAAAATTAGAAAAATTGAATTTTTAATTTTCATTAGTCTTCTTAAGTGTTAACTAATGACACTCTGGCAGCTCTTAATATCACAGCTCACTTGAAAGTTGAGAAGAATGGGGAAAAGTATTGTAATTCACACAAGACTCTTGATGCAGTCTTAGGTAGATTCAACATTAAATGACAGCAAATGTCCTAGACCTTGAGTCTAGGTATTCAATTACTTCTCCCTTCTTTTTTTGAGTGCCTGCGATGGACACGCCTCTCGGTTCACCTCTTCCCTCTGGTTGGTAATTGTGGCCAGTGCCTGATTGTGACTCCGTTAGTCAGTTCTTTTAGGTGGATTTTTCAAGATTTTGTAGATGGCAGTCAGTTTCCTTAGACGCACTATGTAGATCTAATCTTTACAGTTTAAAAGTCATTTCCCTAAACATTGGTTACCCTCTCTGCAAGATATGTGAAAAGCTGATCCGATTGCAATGCCTCTTAGGAGCTGGCACAGATAGGCAGCTGAAGTGAACAAAAGCCTTGCCCCTTCTGATTGATTACTCAGGGCTCCCTGAAGCACTGAGTTGAGAGAGACCCAAACTCCCTGAGGGCTCAGTGGGAAGAGTTCTGGAATTGGTTAGGAATGTCTGCAGAGACAAAACTGACAATCGCAGGGATGGGTTTTTGCCACCCGGGGTTCTAAGTTGATGAGCAATAGGAAGGAGGCGGAGTAAGTCAACTGCTTGGGAGCAGGTGCTGAAGATCTACTGACCCGCAGAGAACAAACAGGTTCAACGTAACCTGGATCTTAAACCCAAGAACCAGTAGTGTCTGCACATCAAATAAACACCACACACTGCAGCAAGTAGTGCCGAAATACCGAATGGGTTCTTGCAAAGTAGGTCATAAGATATGTGGATGTGTCGACGACCCAGTGAGACGCTGGCCCAGCACACATAAGAGATGATGACTTTTTGGCCTCTCTGCCTTTCCTGCCTCCTCTGGCCCTAACTCGAACCCAGTCCCTTCACAGGCCTTCCAACGCTAATGCCGCCAAAAAGGCAAAAACTGATACCAAACACTGATACTGCCTCGTTTCAACACTGACAAAAAGGCAGCAGAGAACAGTCAGAAAAAGTCATCGTCTGACCCGATGGAACCAATATTTGACCAAAAATAAATAAATAAATAAATAAATAAATAAATAAATAAATAAATAAATCCCTGCTCCCTCCATTTTGGAAAAAACAAACAAACAAACAAACAAACAAAAAAAGAAGTGGAAAACAGTAATGAGCTTCCAGGTGACTGAGAAATAGGAAGTCTGAATAAGAGCATACGCTCCTTTAACTTTGTGTTCCCCCTAAGCTGGGGCCAGGGGGATCGCGGACCCACTGATGTTTTCAGGTCAACAGGCTGAATATTGCAAATTCGAATTAAAGCCTTAGCTTTAGTTTATTTTCTAATCTACGAAGAAGAAAAGAGAAAGAGAGAGAGAAAGAAAGAAAGAAAAGAAACAAGAAAGGAAAAGAAACCCTCCTTTCAACCAGAAGGGAGCTCCCGGCTGCTTACAATTGCCTTCTGCCTCTGCCTCTCCCTTTGCTTGGCCCTCTCAGACTCCCGCTTCTCATACTCTCTGCGGTACTCTTCCCTCTTCAGCCTCTCGTGCTGATACTCCTCGTAGCTGTCATACCTGAGAAACACAACTTCATCATTAAGTCAACCGCCCCCACCGACGCCGGCACAATCAAAGGGGAACTGGGGTCGGGGTGGGGGGGGGTCGAGGTAACAGGTGGCGTCTGGAGCAGGGGTGGGAGAGATGGGTTAACGGGGTGGGGGGGAGCTTCTGGGGCAGGGCCCAGAGAGAGGGGATAGGCAAAGACCCCCCCGCCTTACCTGGGCCGACGGCTGTAGGGCGACCTGGAACGTGATCTTGCACACAGGGGAGAATTTCGGTGCGCGCGGTGTCTGCAGTGGCTCGACTCGTAGTGGTAGCAAGATCTGCGAGAGGGAGGGGAGGGCAGAAAGGGCATTTGGCACTGCCCCGAAAGCCCCGGTTATGGGCCCACTGAGCGAGCGTCCCCTGCAGCACCGTCTTAGGGACGCGGCGCCTCCCTCCTAGCTACTGGTGAGGCCTCCAGGTGACACTTGTGATAGTCAGCTGAGAGGTGGGGGGCGATGTGTGCTCTCCCAGCCCCTCCTATCCCTGTGCACGCCCAGCGCCGGTCTGATCCCCTGTCAGCTTTATCTCGCAGGGATCTCAACTATCCTGGCACAGGGCAGCTCTCCAGGTAATGGATAAAGTAGCTGAGCAAGTTTCGTACAGGTTCTCCGGGTGATCCGGCCGGCTCGGGGCACTGTGCTCAAAGCCGGTGGATTTGAGAGGAGAGGGGGAGGCATGTCTGTGTAACGACCTGGCGCCCGGCCCCAGAGGCCCTGGGGTGGCCTGGGGGTGGCCTGGCCTGTCTGCAGGTTGTGAGTGCATTTAGGGACCTTACGCTCTGGGCGGGCCGTTCACGAGGTTTACCTTGAAGACGATCTACTGCCTGGGGACCTTGATCTTGACCTGGAATATGGTGATCGGGAACACGACCTGTGTCGAGAAAAGGATCTTGAACGCGAGCGCATCCTTTGGGGTCTTTGAGCAAATAAGGATTTGGGTGGTGACACGGAATCTCTACATGGAGAGTTAAAGGAAGAGCAAGAAGGCGACACATCGAACAATGAATAGGATTGCGTGCCATCCCAAGGGTAGTTCAGTTTATCACTTTCATCTTCGCTGTCATCAAACAGGCCATCCATGGCTAGTCCTGAATTGATAAACATAGGTAGTTTGGAGAATTGTTCATTACTGAAATCACTGTTCCTCAGTTCACTGGTCTTGTCTGCTTCGTCGTCAAAAACAGCTTGACTGGGATGACCGAAGTGCTTGTTCAGCTCGGCTCGGATTTCCTGGTCTTGGAGCTGTTTTCTGGTGCTGCAAGGAGAGACCTGCTTGCCCGCCCCCGAAGTCTCTCTCAGGTAGCACTGGTCTGAATCTGTGGAAGAACAAGTCTGCCCCTGCCAGTCGGAGGAGGCATCTTTATATTCTAGTTGTCTAGAGTCTTGGAGCTCCTGTGATATATTAATGAGTATTTCCGTTTTGGAATTAATTGACTGACAGTAGTCATGGTCACCAAACAGCCGTAGGCTGGGCCGCTTGGCCTTCCTTTCCTCGTGTCCACTGGTGAGCACTGAGGTCTTGCTAAGTTGTGCGTACAACTCAGACTGCTCGGGCCCTTTCTTGGTGGAGGTATTGCCTTGGGTGCCAGAAGGCTCACTGTACCGGGGCTTCTTCGATGGCGGAGGTACCACAGTCTTGCAAGAGGACTTCAGCTTCGGAGAAGTCCTGAAAGGGTTATCTTGGTTGGCTTTATGAGGAGGAGTTGTGGGTGGAGTTAGGCCTGAAGGTAAAAGGGGAAACACACGCGCGCACACACGCACACGCACACGCACACACACACGCACGAGGGGTGTGGGGAGAGAAACAAGAGACAGAGATCATGTTGTTAAATGCCAGGACATGTTTCCCCAACTTTTCCAGGATTTCAGACAATGGGGAGAAAGAGGGAAACGGAATTCATGACAAGCCCTGAGAAAGTGCCTCTCTCCCGCTAAGCCTCTGGCACCAAGAAAGATGGGTCTCACTACTGCCGGGCAGCGGTGAGATCCGTGATTCTTGGTATTTTTAAACCCCCATGCTAACCGATCTTGCTTCCCAGAAAACATTAGCGCCTTACGACCGGCCTCCGCGGCACCAGGCATGAGCAAAGCTCACATTTCCAAGGGCATCGTCTGTCTGCCTTATGGAAAATTAACACAGCGTGGCCCAGGGGAATGACAGGGAAGCTTTGGTAGCATTCGTCTGCAGAGGCGTCTGCGGAGCATCCAAGTGGCCCAGAAATTGTTCTCCCATCAAGGATACCTACCCATGGAGCCAAACAACTAGGCAACTCAGAAGAAAAAAAAAAAAAAAAAAAAAAGATGGGCTGACAGCAAATGTGGGGCAGGGTGAGAGGGACACAGATAACTTCAAAGTAAGTTCAGTGAAACAGGACAGACCAAGGCAGGGGACCAGACAACTCTGCGACTTGACGGCAATGACTCTTTGTTTCCACAGTTCATTAACTTAGTAAACCATGGCTAATGTAGGTATAATACTTTCTTGTAAGCATAACTAATACATTCTGTCTAAAATATGGTTCTGCAACAGAAACCTAAATGAACAGTAACACTAAATATTGCAGCGCCAGCGGACCGTTTTATTTAGAGCACAACATCGGGGCGGGCGATGAGGCTGGAGGCTTGGAACGGATCCAAACTTCAGCAACCCACTAATTAAAAAAGTAAAAAAAAAAAATCAAAAATCAAAAATCAAAAGATAAGAAAGGGAGATGGGAGAAACCCCGTCAGTGGGTGACTTTTTTTTTTTTTTTTTTTTTTGCTATGAAAGAGCAGATAAATTCCATGAGATGCCATCGTGGGAGCATCTGTGAATTACAGTTGCCTCCACCACCTTTCACCCCCCCCCCCCCGAGGACGTTCTCCGCATCCCTTTACACCGAGGGAGGACAGTTGGGAAATGGCTCCAGAGTCCAAGGAACTTTGAAGAAGGGCAGGCTGGAGTTCAGATGACTTTATGCTTACAAGGGAATATTTGAGTTTACAGCAGCACACTTTCTATTTAGGAGGGTGGGGGAAGGCTACTCAGCAGAAAAGAACTTCAAGTCTGCTAACAAGCCTGGGGTTAGACTTAAGGCAACTGCACATTTCAAGGAAATGGCAGAGAAATCTCAGCTTGCTGGAGAAAGGGGAAAATACACATACATACATATACATCTGTGTGTGTGACAAAACACACAACCAAGTAGGTCACAGAAAGCCACATGAAATTTTGATATGAACAGGAAGAGAGCGCAGTGCCTCTTTCTCCCACTTTAAAGAAATAGAGGAAATTAATGTGAATATTTGCTCGACAATAAAATATTTACACTACTCTTTGGCAGTTTGTGTTACGCAGAGGGGAGAAAAGCCACACAGACGCCAGGTAATTTGACTTGGGACATCCGTCTCAGAACGGTTCCGAAAGACAGGGAGGTGGAAGCACCAAGAGAAGGAGCACCTCGGAGCCCCAGGAAAGCTCCCCCGATTGGCAGCCTGGAGCCCTTCGCAGGAAGATAACCGGGAGGTGACACGTTACTGAATGAAACATCGGTGTCACTGAGGCACGCTCTCCTTCCGATCCCTCTTTCGTGGACAAGTATGTCTCTTAGTCTAAGAAATTCCCATGTGATCAGTCTCCTCTCTCTCCTCTCTCTTTCCCCTCGTTCCCCTTACCTCTGCGCTGGCCTCTCACAGCCCTGATGCTCCCGCACGCCCCCTTCAAGGACCATTACAACAAATCTCAAGGTACCAATGCTGCCCTCCCCGCCCCGCAAAGAAATCACAGATTCTCAGATCTGTCTTCCAGGAGGTTAAGATGCTCGGAGAAATAATGATGAATAATCTGTCTTTGCTGAGCAAGCAACAGTCAAATATTCCGAATGACGTAGCCCTTGAATGGGGGAAACGACAGTCGACATCCTAAAACCCAACTCCGTGAATCTCCTCATGGTCCCCAAACTAGGGTGGTTTTTACTTTCCTAATAATTTATTGCCAGGATCACCCGTTTGGTACTTGTCAGACAACGCTATATATTCCTGATCATCTCTTTTTGGTGTTTTTTTTTTTTTTGCTCATCTCTTTTTGAATGTATGTTTTATCTTGTCTCTCCAAATAGATTATATGCTCTGAGCAGAATGTTGCCTGGCCTTATTTTTGCAAAAATCCTTACTCATTCATTGATTTTTATTTTTTCTAGGGGCGCCAGGGTGCCTCAGTCGGTTAAGCGTTTGCCTCCGGCTGAGGTCATGACCCCGGGGTCCTGGGATGGAGCCCCGCTTCCAGCCCCCTGCTCAGCGGTGGGTCTGCTTCTCCCTCTCCCTCTGCCCCTCCACTTGCTCCTGTGTGTTCACTGTCTCTCTCTCTCTTTCTCACTGTCTCTCTCTCTCTTTGTGCCACATAAATAAATAAAATCTTTTTTTTTTAATTTTTCTGGATTCTCCTTTAGTAGTGGGTCTCACATTTCAGTGGCCCAAGAATAACTGGGGAAGCTGGTCAAACATTTTTAATGAGGCGGTTCATGGACCCCATATAGAGACCTTCTCTCCTGTCATGTCTGTGCAGCCCATCGCCTTGTTCTCAGGTACATGTATTTTGACTGACATTCTAGACGTATAAAAAGAAAACCTAAACTTCAGAAACACCAAATTAGGCCACTATTAAAGAGAGACTATTCCTAAAAATAGCTCAGCTATCTAGGGATTTTAAATATAGAAATTCTTTTTAGTCTTGAACATTTGAAACCCTTGTCCTAGTACCTAAACTCATTATTGCTTAAATAACTGATTCTCAAGTTGCTCTTGGGAGTGGCGACACCTTGATTGTAGTTTTTTTTAGTTAAAAACCAAACCTTTTACATTCTTCACATCTCAGGCAGCCTGTAGCAATGGAACAGACATTCACTGAACACCTACTATGTGCTGGATAATACACCGGATGCTGGGGCTTCTGGGACTTCATGGTTCCTTTTCATAAATGGGAAAATCTTTAAAATTTGAAGTAAGGTACCTGTTTTTGGGTACGTACTTAAAATTTACAGAAACTCTAAGATAACCACACATAGCCTAAGAATGAATATAGCAGGGCTGTGAATTTCTGTTGGCACCCCTTACTAAAAAATAATAATGATAATAATAATAATAATAAATAATAATATTTACTTAACAGATTGAGGTTATTTTAGGATTAGTGAGTAGGTGGGTAAGGGCAAACAGATAATTCAGATAATTCCATAAACTTTTTATAATAATAATAATAATATTTACTTAACAGATTGAGGTTATTCTAGGATTAGTGAGTAGGTGGGTAAGGGCAAACAGATAATTCAGATAATTCCCTAAACTTTTTACTGTTTACTGAAACATTCTTAGAGAATACCTCCAAGCAAGACAGAAATCTCAAGGATGGAACCAGCAGTGCGTAATTGAAAAATCTATTTCCAGATAGACTGGAGACCCAACGCAAAACAAAGCAAAGCAAAATAAAAGTGTAAGAAGCACTTGTTCTTTTTTTTTTTTTTTTAAACATGGTGTCAAACTTTTAAGAGACACTCATGGGCACAGGGACCCCTTGCTGCAACGGAACGAACTGGATGTCTCCCACGTCCGCCACCCAGAACCCTGTTCCTTGCGGTAGGAGGGCAGTCAATACTCAATTCCTTGATGCCACTACCTTTGCTCATCTTCCTTCTAATGGCCAGACTCTCAATTTCACCCCACAAGCTTAAATCAACAGTGCTAATGCCTCCCATAACCTCCGGATTATTTCCTGTGTGTTGATTTTCTGGGGAATGTGTACATTTTGGTGTTGACAGTACAAGGTATATTCCATGCTCTCTCTTGAACTTAGCAGGTTTTGACAGATTTATGTGAGGACAGATGGCCATTACAGGCTGAAGGCTGACAAGAGGCAGTTCAGAGCATTGTTAACACACTTGCACAAACTCTCAGCAGTGCAGCACTGTGCAGAATGTAATTCAGACTATAGCTTTTTTATTACTGCCTATTTTCTTTTGTCAAAAGAGCCTGCTGTGCAGAGCAACAAATGGCTGCTATTACCCAGAATGTAATGGGTGTCAGACAAATCACGTAACACAAACAATCAAGAGTATGTAGGTCATATTTCAACAGAGCACAACCTTAGCAATATTTATGATTACTGCATTGAAATGTGTTCTATAATAAACAAGTACCTCTGCATCACTCACACTTATGCACTTCTGCACAGCAAATCTGGGAGAAGTGCTACACACTCCACAGTCATCTTTTTAAACAGCCCTTTTATTTAAAAAAAAAAAGTCAGAGACAAGTTTTGTTTTGTTTTGTTTTTCATTATGTGCTATAAAACGATTTTCTTTGAGGAGTTCTCTTTTGGGTTTGTTTGTTTAATTGAATGACTCTGATAAACGATGACTCCTCTGCTGTGGATGCGTGTGCATGTGTGTTCCGCGATCCACCCAATGACTCCAGCAGGGTTTGTTTTCTGTTTTTTTTTTTCCTTTTTCTTTTTTTTTTAAATAATTTATAACATTTTACAGAATCTCATTCTCTATCTGTGACTTGCTTTGGACTTTCTTTGGTAGTGGGATTTTTCTCAGGTCACATGTCAATTGAAATATTTCATAAGGAGAAACGATGAGAAGACGAGTTTCTAATTTCCTTAAAACCTTACTGAGAAAGGACTGGGCAGAGAGGCATGTGGTTTATCCTACTCTTCTATTCTGTGCCTCAAGAACTTGGAGTG